TCTAGGCCCGAAACGTCAGCTTTCCTGCTCCTCTGATGCTGCTTAACCTGCTGTGTTCATCCAGCTCTGCACCTTGTTATCTCGGGTCATTTGACTCATTGTGTTTGCTCTATCTGTCAAAGAGCCATCGAGCCTCATCAGGTTCTAATGCTTGATCTAAACCTTGCAGCTTCTGGCACTTCAAATGCGCATTAAAGTAGCTTTTGAATGTAATGATGGTTTGAGTCTACCATTTTTCAGGCCTTAAGTCTAGATTTCCACCCTCCAGGTCAAAAAAGCCCACTTCTGTCTCCTTTAAAATTCCCCACCCTTGGCTAAATGTGTGTACCCGGTTAAAGACATCTCAACCAAGACAAATAGGGTCTTCATATCTACTCTGGCAAGACCGCTCATAATTTTATGCACCAGGTTTTTCCTTTGCTGCCTCAATTCCATAAAAGAAACCCCAGCCTATCCATCTACCATTACAACTAAACTTCTGCAATCCAGGTACTGTCTTTGTTAATCTCCTTTGTATCTTCTGTATGCAATCACACCTTTCTTATACTGTGGTTACATAAATGCATTGAGTGGTGGCCTATCAGTTTTATCCAGTTGCTGCATAACCTTTCAGTTCCATAATCTGTGCTTAAGCTAATAAAGTTAACTATCCAGTATGCCTTCCTGACCACCATCAAGCCCTAATCCTATTGCAGGGATGTCTGCGCATGCAGTCCAGAGTTTCTTTGTTCCTCTACATCTTTCAGTATCCTTTCATATCAATATGTATTGTTCATTGTTGCCAAGCTGGTTGTTTGATTGCAGACATTTCGTCAACCTGCTAGATAACATTGTCAGTGCACCTCCGATGTGGCAGGGTGACAAAACGTCTGGAATTGAACCCACCGGCTCGGCAAGCAAGTCTTCAACCTCATCCACAACCCGAGCTACAAATCTTCTCAAAAACTTTGCATTGTTCATTCCTTTGCCTCATTAGTCTCCCCAAATGCAGTTCCTCACACTTCTCTAGCTAACGCTTCATTTGTCATTGTTCCACCAGCCTGACTAATCCTTTGCTATCTTCCTACAATATACCGCATTCTTCTTCCTCATTAACCACATAGTTAATTTTATGTCATGTGCAAACTTCTTAACCACACCTCCTATATTTAAGGCTGAATCATTGATCAATAATACAAAAAGCAAAGGACTCATGCGGGTTGAGTCCTCAGTCCCATCAGAAGCAACTTTCATGGTAGAAAAAGACACCTGTTAGCCTTTGCTTACTGTCTCTGAATCAATTTTTTATTTTCAACTTTCCACTTTGCCTTCGATTCCATGGGCTGTTATTTTTACAACCAGTGTACCATTTGTGACGTCGTCAAAACCATGTTAAAATTCATATAGACTACAGCGTTGCTCACTAAGTGTCTTTGTTGCTTCCTCAAAAATGTTCAATCATGTACCTCAGACACAACCTTCCCTTAATAAATCCAAGCTGACCGTCTTTGATCTAATGAGGATTTATCCTGTTCCTCCAAATTTTTGGTGATCATTTTCCTGCCTTTGAATGTGGATGACTGGTCTGTAATTGCTTAGTCTGTCCTTTTTCATTTTTTAGGCAAAGTTGCAATATTAGATGCCTTTCAGTCCCCTGACAACACACCTTGTAGCCAGACAGGGCTGGAAAATGAGAAGCAAAATCAGAAATGGCTGGACAAATTCAGCAGGTCTGGCAGCATCGTGGAGAGAAATCAGAGTTAATGTTTCAGGTCTAGTGACACTGCTTCAGAACAAGTTCTGCCAGACCTGAGTTTTTTCAGCATCCACAGTTCTTTGGTCTTTTTGTTCAGGCCTGGAAAATGATAGTGAGCATAAGAACGTGGCATCAAGAACAGCCCATTTGATTCCTCAACTCTGCTGTACCATTCAGTAAAATCATGGGTTACTGATTATGACGTTAATTCCACTTTCCTGCCTGCACTTTACCAACCTTTGACTCCCTTGTCAATTTCAGTCTTGAATATATTCAATGACCCAGTCAGCACTCTGTCTTGCATTTCTCTCTTTTGGGCGATACAGATGAAAAGTTCTCATTAAGAGCCATACCAACTATTTGCAATATACATTTGTGAAATAGTTCCTGCACTCTAGCATAAATTGGTTAAAGTGGTGTTTCTTGCACACATTTTATTTATAACTTAACAATGAAAGGTTTGTGTTCAAAGAATTGAGCAGTGCAGTTATGGGAGTCAATTGTGCTGTACTGTTCTATGTTCTACGTCAGCACAACATCGTGGGCCGAAGAGCCTGTACTGTACTGTACTGTTCAATGTTCAAATTAAATTTAAAATTAATCTGTTAAATATTTGATTTTGCATTTAGTTAGAGGTTCATGATTCTGAAATTTACTAAGTCAGGCAATATAATAACAGGTTGGTGCAGCATTGTTAGTCCACCATTGGGTGGCATTATGATATTTTATTGATGCTGTACTCGGGTGATATTTTGCAAAACAGATGAAAGCATTGGATCAATCCGTTATGGCCCAATTTTTTTTTCAACCATGACCTCTTGAAGTAAGTTTCAACATTTTGAGAGTTAAAGGATGGTACATACATGCTTTGTTCCAAGGTCCAAGATTTTGTGATTGTTATGGTTAATTGCTCTTTTCTAACTTCATTGGCAAATTGCGTTATAAAATTAATGCACATATACTTGTTTTGATAAAAAGAATTCAGTAGTTATGGTGGATATTTGCCTGTCATCGAATTCACAAAGTAATTTGATCTTTTGTAAACTGATCTAGGCCAAATACTTCATACTGATGTGATTTACATACTTGGTCAAGGAGCACAGCGAGAAGCTGAAAAGATAAAGCATTTGCTTCATAAATACAGGTGTGACAATTGATTTTTATTTTTATTTTCAAATAAATGAAGTAATTACCTATTTTGACACAGGTAATGAAATAATACTTGTGATATATGTATGTATGCATAATGTGTTCATTTTATTTAAATATTTTGCATAAGTTTGTACGGTGAAACAACATAGGGATAAAATCACTCCTAAATTTAATAAGGCAAAATAGTGAAAGGTTATTTGTGGTATTTTTCATGAAATATAAGTTTGATCTGACCCAGACACTGTCATGTTTCTTAAGATAAGTGTTGTGCCAAAATCAGTCAGAAGACCATTTATGTCTGACTAAATGATGGCTTCACATTGGGAGCCGATGTCCTTGACCTGATTGGAGATAAATTTTCGCTAAATTAGTTTATAATTTTTAAGATATAGTGCTCCTTTACTTTGTGTTCAATAGTTGTTTTTGTTTTGTAAAGACTTTATTTAACATGTGGCAATTAGACCATCTGTAATTGTCAATATTTTATCAAGATTGCCCTTTAATGTGAATATCATTAATGGATTTATATTGCAAATGTAACTCTTTTTTTCATGGATGACAAGAGGAAAAATAGCTTGCTTTAGTGAAGTTCAGGTAGGAGACCTAGCTTTTGATGTAATGATCTCTACAGGGACTTGTCGGCCATCTGTACTACCAATCTGGCAGTTGTTGTGATTGTTATAAACAATGTCTATAAATTTAAATGAGTATGTCTCTGCATTGGAATACATTATAATGGTTGCCAAGGAATGTGCAGTTCAATTGGAGAATGTTGGTATCCTCTAAAATTGTTCATAGAATAAGGTCAGAAAATTTTTAAATATGAAGGCTGTACTAAGCTAGTTCATATAAATAATTTTGGTTTAAATTGACATTTATTTTCAGTGACTTAATTGAACTTTAAGAATCTCATATTTCCTGAAACTTAAAACATGCACCATAATTTGCAGTGCAGCTGTAATAAAATATATGCATATATAACACATCAGTTCATGGGAGTAAGTGCAGGTTTTTACAATATAGTAAGACAAAAGACTTGTACGGCACTCGATCCATCCAAAGAAACAAAAGAACAATGAATCATCTAGGCAGGTTATTTTGTAGAAACAGTGAAATAGAGAAAATATATAAACAGTGGAAAGTTTTTCTTTACAAAGACCATGTAACCTTGATTTTCTTTTTGTTTTATGTACATGAAACGTAATTTTTAAAGACAAGTTCAGAAAAATGAAAAACGCTTCAGTTATTAATTTACAGTTTTACTTCAGATCCCAGTAATTCAATTACATGAATATACTTAATGTTTTGATCTACAAAGATTTCAGTTATTCAAGGAGAGAATTAATGAGAAATGATTCAGAACAAGAGTGTTAAGCAATAATTGTGATTTTGTGTATATTCCAAAAACAAACAGAAAAGTAAATAAATACAAAGTGCCTAGGTGACAATAGAAAATGATTGAACAAGGAACTTCATAACCATTAATATTTTAATACATAACACTGTAAATTCGACATTAGACTAACATAATCAATAAATCAACAAATTTGTTGGATAAAGGTGACTTTTTGATAATTGACCCTAAAAATGTTGTGATGGCATTTTTTCCTTCTATAAAAGAAGCCAAAATGCTTGTCATGAGTTGTGCTTCAAAGCACATACTTCAACATGTTCAAGAAGAAAAATAGAGTGCACATATGTGAACCAATTAAATAGAAAGCTGAAGTGATCAGCTGTAATTTGGAGTCTGTCTTTATAGTGTCTAGTCTGCTTTCTTTCGAGCATAGTTTAAGAAGTGTTTTCTTTGTTGATTGAATTGATAAATATTTTAATTTGATTTTTATTGCTTTCTGAATTTGGATATAGACCTATTTGTAATTTTATTTTTCTTTTGCTGAAAGCTGTTCGACCATCGTTATTGGTAATGGAACTGCTTGCAGAGAAACAGAATCTTTCTTTGCTGACTTGATAAACAGGAAATATTTTGCTCCACTGGATGTTGTCTACTGGTAAGGCCTCTTCAGTTTTCTTTATCATTTATCATACTTGTATTTGAACTGAAGAGCTTCATTTAAAGCAAAATTATTTGACAAGATCTATAGACAACAGGTAAAGTCATGTAACTGAGGCGATGAATATTCTGTAAATGCACTTTAAGAATTAATAAATGGGTTTTATGACAATGGTGAGACCTTGCCAGAAAAAAATTACATTTTACTTAATGACATACAAGCTAGAAATATTAGGTAAGACAAAAAAAAACTACAGATGCTAGAATCCAAGGTAGACAGACAGGAGGCTGGAGGGACACAGCAAGCCAGGCAGCATCTGGAGGAATGGAGAAGTCAACATTTCGGGTATTACCCTTCTTCAGGACTGCATTATTAGATAATCTATTTTAGGAACACACCCAATGGGGACAAATTAAGTGTTCTGAGACTCTGTACTCTTGTTTTCCTGCAAACTGTTAGCTAGATTAAAGTCAGCATTTGAAATCAACTGCACTGTTTCGAAGTGGAAGATGGTCCTATACTTTGAATATATATTCATGTAGGTTGAGCTTACTTCTCAACCTGTGAATTTGAAAACTGAAAACAAATGTTGATTATCAGAAACATTTCTATGTGCAGAGCTGTGATATTCAATTAACCTAATATCAATTAGCATTTATCTAGCATATAGTATCCTGGGAAAACTGAAGTATACACGGACAAAATTTGACATCAAATTACAGGTGATATTAGGAGGATCACTAAAAGCTTGGTCAAGACTTAGGCTGGGGGTGGTTTGGAAAGGGAATTCCATAGCCTCAGATCTGAATGACTAAAGATATATCTGCTAGAGAGGAAGAATATTCCTGATGCTGGCTGTTGAATTAATTTGTTCGTACGGATGAGCATTTTAATTTGACAATGCGGGTGAACGAGTATGAGAATGATGGGTGAGTAAGACTTGATTCAGACTGTGGTGAATGTAGCAGAGTTTTAGAGGAGCCCATGCTTATATAAGGTTAGTAACTTGGTAGGACAGCGTTGGAACAGTTTGAATTTGGCGTTGAAAGCATGTCTGAGGGTTTCTTCTGTAATTGGATTGAGGAAGGAGCAAATACAAGTGATGTCATGGCGATAGCAGTGGGTACTGGACCTGGCTTGAATGTGTCAGTTTTTCAGACCTATTTTCCCTTGTCAAAGTTGTATGTAGTACCAGGATCATTTTGGAAGGTGGATAGCCACATTTCCTCTTTTCTGCTGGCCATTATCTTAAATTCTTGGTCACTATGATTGAGATCATTGACACATCCGCTTCTTCTGTGTTTCCATCTCATTCTGTCTTTGAAACCATCACTTTGATGAGACTTATCTCCTATCTTCTTGACCTTCGTTGCCTCTGACCTCCAGATTGCCCAGCGTTCCACTTGGCTTTCATGCTAGATTATTGTAACTGGATTCCCCTTATCAAATGCTGTTGTTTACTTTTTCAAGAATTACTGTCTTCAGGTGGCATCTTGACTAAAATTCATCAATGAACTTTGTCTTTGCTACCTACTGCACCAACACCAAACAATCTTAATGTTCTCTCTCTGCCCCTCCACTAGCACCACTTATTTAGAGGATGTTGAAACCAAACATGGTTCCAGTTCTCACTTTAATGAACCACACGTGAAAGTATCATTCTGCTCAGTGTATAAATCTACTAAATGATCAGGGGTATCTCAATGAGACAATTTCTGTGCAGTGAATGGGTTTGCAAAAATCCACTGCAGTTTATGGAGATCTTGTACTTCATGCTTCAGTATTCATAATCTAAATAGTCTTGTAGTGGCTTGTGTCATAATTAATAAAACCACCAATTTAAAAACCACATCCTGGATTTGAACGTCCCTTTCTGCTGGCCATTATCTTAAAATTCTTGGTCATAGTGGCTTACTGTCCATGGAAATAAAGTTAGTGCCTGTTCAATGTTTTTGTGTGATGTACCTCTTTGGTCTCATAACAGGGTGGGGAATCCTTTCCATTTAATCGCTCTGATGGAAATCTGGTGTCATATTCCCAAGAAATGGAAATATAAACATGTATTTGAGATGGCGCATGTATTGGCAAAAGGGAAATATTTCTTGAGCAGCAAGAGGAAAAGTCAGAAAAATATTCAGTGACTGAGGACCTTCAAAGAGCTGTAAATTTATAGAACCATCAAAACTGATTTATTGTGACATCTGTTTTGACTTTACAATGAATTCTACAGAAATTTAAGTAGAAATTGTTATTTTGAAGATTTGCATCATTCCCTATTCAATTTTCTCTCGCGTTGCACAACTTGCAAATATAAATATCAAATTAAATGAGGGGAAAAAGTGTGAATAAAATCTAGAAATGCATTATTGGGGAAGATGTGAAAATAATTTATTAAAACTAAATATTATGGTGAGAAAGAGACCATAAACTAATATTTTTTGAGTTTATAAATACCATCTGGAATTTATTTGACACTAATCTCAAATGAAAAACAAATATTTCTTTCTGTGCCTTTTAGCGATGATTGTTCTCTTGCTTTTGTGTGTTCTAGTCCAACATAAATAACATCAGTTTTTTTTTCCTAGCTTCTCTGCTGCATCCTTCATTATCAATTCAGATTTGTATTGGGTTTCTGCCCAATGCAAGTTTCATCGAGCCATAAGAACTTAAGTAACAAATCTTTATCCGTTGCCAACAGTGGTATTGATTTTAACTGTTTTTTGACTTGCGCTGCACCCTTGGCTTGAACAGATTATTATAGCTGAAGCAGATTGCTCAAATTGAGCATTTGGAATCATTGTTTTCATTACAAATGGTAATCATAGATGCTAAAATGGATACAAAACTCTGAGAATATCCAGTATTAAAAGATTATCAAATATTTTCAAAGTTTGAAGTTCAGAAATATGACATTTTGTTTTGAGAATTTAACAAACCTTATCTTGTTTTAGAGGTGTTATACATACAGTAATGCAATGGATAGGGAAAGAGGTAAATTGAACACTTTCATTCCCCTCATCGTTTGTCCCTAAGCAGAAGCATTTTGTTTTGTTTTTTTTCCCAAATGCTCTGTTAGTGAAGTCCACTTTTAAAATGATCCCCCAAAACCACTTGTTAGGGTTAAATCAGTAGTATGGATTATAATGCATTCAAATACAGGGATAATTGTCACACAGAAGTGTCAAGGAAGAAAAAAGGAAAGCGCTTACAATTTAAAAATAAGTCAAAAGACAAAAATGTAGTTATTAATTCATGTGATTTGGTTGTTGACTTGCTCGCCGAGCTGGTAAGTTTGTTTGCAAACATTTCGTCACCATGCTAGGTAACATCATCAGTACGGCTCTGGTGAAGCGCTGGTGTTCTGTCCTGCTTGTTATTTGTGTCTTGGTTTGTTGGGGTGGGTGGCATCACTTCTGGATTTATTTCTTTGTGGTTGGTATATGGGGTCCAGCTCTACATGTTTGTTAATGAAGTTCCAGTTTGAGTGCCAAGCCTCCAGGAATTCTTGTGCATGTCTTTGCTTGGCTTATCCTAGGATGGCTATGTTGTCCCAGTGGAATTTGTCCATATATCTTGTCATTGAAAGTGAAGTAGATTGTGGGGTACAAATCCAGTAGTTTGAGGGTGCTGTTGTTACTGATGGTGTTAGTATTGGCAGGTTGTCTGTATCCCTGGTTTTTTAGTAGTAAGGCTGGTGTTCCTTCAGCTAAGGTGATGTTTATGGAGGTAAATAGTGCCATCACGTTGAAGGAGATCATGATTTCGTCCTCATCTGTTCTGGTGTCCTTGATGATGTTGAGGAATTGTTGGGTGGAGTGGATGGAATGGTTTGAACTGTCTGCGAGGTGTTTCAGTCTCCTTTGTAGTTCTTTTGCTAGTCTGTATGTCGGTGTACCTGGCAGTGAGATAATGGATCTGAGGGGGCCTCCAGCTTGTGCACCTTAGGGAGCCCGTAGAAGTAGGGTGTGTTTGATCCCTGTGGTTTCATCCTCTGGTAATCGAATTTGTTAATTTCACCCATTTTGTGTAGATTCCTCAGGGTGGTTATAATAAGGCTTTCCAGTTGTGTTGTTGGGTCTGTCGCCACCTGTTGGTAGGTGTCGGTATCTACAAGTGAAGTATTCGCTTTCTCGATGTACTGTGTTCTGTTCATTATGACAATCATGTGCCCTTTGTCCACCAGTAGGATTACAATGTTCCTGTCTCTCTTGAGTCCTTGTGGCACTTTCCTCTCTAATGTGTTGAATGTGTTCCTTTCATTCCTTCTGGTTAGTGTTGGGCTGCTATCTGTCTGACAGTTTGTTGGGTTTTTTCAGTGAGTCCATGTTTTTTAATGTGGATTCCAGTGCAGCCCCGAAGTCTGGTTTTATTAGCGTCTCTGTGATTGTAGTTTAGTCTGCGTACCAGGCCGGCTTTTTTTGGTGGCTGTGAGTGGCCAGTCAGATAGGTTCCATATCCAAGTGTCACCTCTGACTGTGTTGTTATTGTGGGTAAGTTTAACCAGTTTCTCCTATAGAGCCTGCCTTTTCTTGGTTTTCTGTTGTTTTATGGTAATGGCTCATTCTAGTATTGCAGTCCATTCTTGGCTGGTTGAGTTTGAATATAAAGTTTTTTGGCATGCATTTTCCCACTCATATTTGTGAAGGCGGTTGTGGGCATTATTAATCATAACCTGTAGCATTCTGCGGCTGTTCTGTTCAGCTGTTTTCCATGCTTGAAGGTTGTTTAGTGGTGGCTTGTGTTTTACACTGTGTGGAAGTACCTGTTTTCTGATGCATTCAAATAGGAAGTGAAGTTGCTTGCAGGTAGCGCTCAGTCGGATGGCATTTGTTTACCATCATTGGGAAATTAGAGTGTGTTGCGCTCATAGGTGTTCAAGGTTTTTGAGAAAATTTGTAGCTCGGGTTGTTACGTGGTTATTGACTTTCTCGCCAAGCCGGTAAGTTTGTTCACCAACTTTTTGTCACCATGCTAGGTAACACCAGTGTGTATTCCGT